ACACACACACACACACAGCTGGAGGATAATACAGGTAGCCTTCTACCCATCTGTCAAATCCATCTGTCAGTCCTTCTTTTATTACCTTTTTCTCTTTTAGTTTTGGTCTCCATCCTTCTGTCTGCTTGTTTTGGTTTTCCTCCTGTTTTCTCTGTTTCAACTTCTTTATTTATTCTTTATTATTTCTTTATCCTTCATTATTTCTTTATTCTTTCTTCTCCGTCTTTGTTTTGTGTTGAATTAATCCTCTGTAGCTGAAGGCTCACTGCACTCATACAACGACCCATAAACAGCAACGTGGTTTAACTTTAATAGCACGTTAGGATAAAAACATCAATGTTTTTTATGACATTTTACAAACTATGACATTTTACAAACTATGTAGACAGTTGAAATCGAGGATTCAGGTTGCCATGGATACCATTCATCACTGCAACTTGTGCCAGTTAAACAGAAACCCTAGCAACCACCTAGCAACACATCAGCACGGCGTCGTACACCAACGGCATCCAGAAGAAAACTTTAATTATACAATTAAAAAAGAAAATTAAATGAAATAAAATACCCAACAATAATATAATAATTTATAATAATATAAGATAAAACAACAACAATAAATAATAATGGACCTTTAATACAATGCAGTCGTAGCTCCGTTCATGCTACAAAAGCAGAAAACGTATAAACAATATTTATATTTTAAAATAACTGAATAGAACAAAATATTTAAACATTGATTTACATACAGAAACTCTGTGACTTATTAAACAACATTAAGGCTGCAAACAACCCACAATACAACACGTTTTATAGGAGCCAGTGAGTTTTTTTAAAACTGTCAGTTCTCACTCTTTTCCCACTTTTCTCTTATCAACTACTTTCTTTAAAGCATTTTTCTCTCATTATTGTCGCCGTCAGTCCTTTGGTAGATTTAAATTGCCTCCATGTTCGTTCTTTGTCTCTTTTTGTCTCCCTCCCTCTGAGTCTTGTCTTTAGTTTTTGTATTAATTATTTCTCTCTCTCTCTCTCTCTCTCTCTCTCTGCTGTCTCTCTTTAATGAGTGCGAGTGGCGCCGTGTCACAGACATCCTCAGTCAGGGTGACTCACAACTGTCGCAGAATAATGTTTCCCACAAGACAAAATGAGACGCTCTCTTCTGTCTTTACCCACAGAGACTCTCAGCCTACAGACACTTCATCTTCCCTCTGCCAGATCCTCTAATTAAACAAGACACAACCCAGGTGAATCTCACTGAGCTGTGAATTGTGAATTATTATATTTATTTACATCCCCGTCGCCTCCACTCCCCTCTCATTTACCTCCCAGAGAAGTGAGATTGTTTATGTAAGTCGTATAAATTTAAATTGTCTTGTGTTTTTACAACGTCCCGGAGCATAAAAGGGTGTTAATGAACAGAGAAAACAGCTCAGTTCAGTGGCTGAGTTTGAATAAAGAGACAGAGGAAGCTGTGAGCTGACTCCCTAAAGAGATGAACCAGACAGAATCAGGAGTCAGGAACAGTTTAAAGAAGAGCACAAAGCACATTTATATTTCTGTCTGCGTGTTTAAAAAGAAAAGCTGAGAGCAGAAATATCACATCGTCTGAATTCTTAATGATAAAACTGAGGAAGGAGCAGATCAGATGTGTTCTCACTGATTGCTCCAACGTGTTCACAGTGGTATATAGTTAACATGATGAGCAGGTGAAATGTTTATTTAAATATCAGACCTGTTAGCACTATCATTGAATAAACCTGTCACATTTATTACATTATCAGCTCAATGCAAGATACCGACAGTGACCGTTGTGTTTACATGCGTGTTTGTTAAGACTGGTTAGCACTCAGTCGCCTCATAGCAAGAAGGTTGTGGGTTCGAATCCTGGCTGGGGCAGGACCCTTCAGCGTGGAGTCTGCATGTTCTCCCCGTGTTTGAGCAGGTTTCTATCCTCCATTTACACAGTTATTATAGTTAAATTCTTCCTGTCAGTGGCCTTGATGAGACAAGGCTCGGATCTGGAGGTGGTCCACTGCTATTAATACTTAAGATGGGTCAAATGCAGAGAATGGATTTCCCTACAGGGATCAATAAAGAACAACTTAACTTTCAAGTGTGTTTTCATAATGTCTGAGCTGAATGAACATTAGGATGAACTAACAGTTTAATGCTCTTTGAAGGGTTGTACTTCTACATTATTATGCTCATCATTACATCAGTGGCATTAAATGGTCTTAAAACGTCTGTCAGACTCTTAGTGTTGTTGAAAGGGAAAAAAAAGAGTTGATTCCTATTTCTATACCACGATGATCGCCTGGATCTTTAACTAGCTTGTTATAACTCTGCTGCCTCTCAGTTTTCAGACTCTAGTGAAACATTTCTACCTCCTGCTGTGTGCTATTTTCCCTGCTCTGAGCGGGAGCACCGCTGTGACCAGAGCATCAACTACCTGTGGCGTCTGCTACTATATTTACCTCTCAGCACTCCTGGGACGGATAAAGAGAATTAGAAAATGGCTGTTTGTCACCTGCCTGCAGGAAAATAACAGCTTGCTGAGCTGAAAGCATTGAGAAGAAACTTATTAAACTAGAAAGAAAGAGGCAGATAAATGGTAAATATAAAGTAATGGTAAATTGGAGACAGAAAAATAGCACTGAGGAGGATCTATTAGCAGAAATTGAATATTCATAGGTATGTTTTCATCAGTGTATAATAATCTGAATATAAGAATAATTGTGTTTTTGTTACCTTAGAATGAGCTGATTTTATCTACACACACCATGTTTCTACAGTAGCCCAGAAAGGACAAACCAAACTCTAGATAGAGGCGTTCATGTATGTTGTGAATTTCATGCCCGTCGTAGTTTCTCCTTCGCGTTTCAAAAGGTCTTCGGTCTGCAACTACGCCGCTAGATGCCACTAAATCCTACAAACTGGACCTTTAACAACCAGATAGTTTAAAAAGGGAAATAACAGTGTTCTTCTCTGAGAATAAAAGAAAGGAGAACAAAAGACACATTTAGAGAATTAGGGTCAATGTCAGGGAGAGAGAAAGGCAGACGAGAGTTATGGGACAAAAGAAAAAGCAGAGATCAGAAGAAAATCAGAGAACCCGAGGAAAGAACGAAGAGTGACATGAATTTAGAAGAAGAAGAGAAAGTGAATTAAGTCAGGGAAGATCACAGAAGCATTAATAACATCAGAGAACAGAGAGGAAGATGGTGAGAAGAGCGAGATAAGAGGAAGAAACTGGCTTTAGCTCCTCCGTCCTCACCCATATAGATATATTATAATAAACAGCCCCGACAGACAAAGAAACACACAACACTTAACAGCAAGCACAGAGACCAAAGAGAAAGTCTGAGATTTTTATTAGAGATTTTTGGCATGAAATATTTTATCAACCGAGTTGTTTAATGAACAACAATCCAAACAAAAACAACTGTAAAGAACCACATTTCAAGCTTTTTTTCTTAAATGTTTCCACAAGATTTCTTTTTTTTCTGAATAAATTATAACTACAAGATGCCTTTTAATGCGACGATACTGACTGCTCTCTCTTCTATCGTATAGGAAGCGCAGGACCTGTTAACGCTCCCTTACAGGCTGTCCAGATGTTACACAATATGTTTGTGTCAAAACAATAAAAGCTTACAAATGTATAAACAGATTTTCAGTTGCTGGTAAATGAGACGACACGAGTTTAAGATGAACACCAGTCAGTATATTCCAGAGTGTCTCCATCTGTCTGACAGCTTTTTTTAAACTTGTAGTCCAAAATAAACAAGCTTCTCCTTTGACGTTGGTTTGACATCGAAAACCATCTTTAATTTCAGAACTGAAAGATCGACTTCAGCGTCACAGCTCACGTGATTTTGCTGACGTATATCTAACACCGAGAGTCGGGCACTTCTACGTTAAGTTATATGTAGTTATATGAAATGAACAATTAGAAAACAAACCCTCTCTCTCAAAAAACTGGAGGAAATAAAAAGGCAAACACTTTATTTTTCGGGGGCCGCTAAACCAGATCAAACCCTGACGGCCCTTACGGAGGTGAAGATGAAAACTTTCCCCCCCTGGCTCCCATTGGCTAGCAAACAGGAAGTAGAAAAGCAGGAAGGGCTGTTGGGTACTACATGAACATGTCATCATAGCCAGGTGGAGGCATGTGGTCTGGATCCGGCCTGTAAAACACAGACACACAAACAGCGTCATCATATATTCATTAGCGTATGTCTCTCACAGCTCTATGGGTCCCTAAAGAGCCCAAAAACACCAGCACAGATCTGGGTTTTCTTTCTCTTCCAGGACAACTAACAGGATTATTCTCTTCTTTTAACATTATTACAAAAGTACAAAGTCAAACATACAAACTTTATGAAAATGCTGACTAAAAGGCACAGAATGTCCAGGTTGGAAAGCTCGCCAAGATCCGACGTACGAAACATTTACTAACAGCTTCTTCATCTTAAGACGCTGTGACTTTCAATTTTACAGGAAATAAAATGACAAGTCACCGACAACAGATCAAACCAGCAGTTGCTAACGTTTAGTAACTTGATTAAGGCCGCATTAAACTTAGAACATTACTGGAGCTCAGTTAAATAAGCAAACAGGTTGTATCACAAACATGTGGTCAAGCAGGGAAGTGCGGAGCGCGGACTCCGTTAGGGAACACTGTCTGGGAACATATTTCATACTGAAATGACCATAACTCTGAAAGAAACCCACAAAATGTGTCTCACTCTGACTGCTGAAGCTTCATATTAGCATCAACTCAACTTAAGAACACATTTCTCCACAGGAAGAGAAGGGAAGGGATCACTGCAGTCAGCACTGACAGGAGAAACAAGGGAGTATCGTTTTAAGAAAAGTATGAACCTATCCTATCCTATGACCATCGCCAAGGTCTTGCTCATGGTGGTACTGTTGGGTCTCTGTAATTGTTATAAGGAGTTCGGTCTAGACGGCTGGCTCTATTTGAAAAGTGTTCCTGAGATAAACTTCTGTTATGGAATGGCGCTATTACAAATAAAATTGAATCCTTTAACACAGCAGTTCTCAACCTTTCTTGATTTTAAGGCATGTAAGAAAACTCAGCATTAAGTTCACTCCTGTGAAGAAGGTAAATGTAAAGATAATTGTCTAATACAACGAATCAGCAGGGACAAAAAAACACTGAATTTGTCAAAAAAGAAGCCTATTAAGTTTGCATGACTGTATAAAATATAAAAAGGTATATAATACAGACAGAGAATTGTATAAAAAGTTCCCTTAACAGGAAATAATCTGCTCAAAATTCATCCAAATCTCTGGTTTTACACAAACTTCTTTCAGTTCCTAAGTTCACTGTTTGTTCAGTTTTTAATATAATATGAAATATTCATAAAACATATATCATTTAGTCAGTTTACTAAATGATAGAAAAAGGTTGGGAACC